ATATATATATATATATATATATATATATATATAATATTATATAATATAATATATATATATAATATATATATGTACAGTTGCGGAATTATATTTCAGTACACATGCTGGAACCCACTTTCATACATCTGGCAACAAGTACGATGTAAACATAGAGTAAATAGCATTTCTATGAATGAGGCGAAACCCCTATCTTGTTTGTAAGACTGAGCGCGATTGGTCGAATAGAAATAACCAATAAGTATAATAATATCTATTTTTCGAAACGAAGCAAGCCATTTCATATTGCATTTTCTTCATATAAGTGATTGCAAAACACGCAGTATTTGCAGTCGTTGGCTTCGTAGTGGAATATTTTTCAAATGTGACTTTTTGGAATTGTTTATCGAGATGGCAACACCTATGGAGGTAAAGCGGCATGTCTCCCTTATTTAAACAAAGCAATTAACAATGATATTTGCATGATTTCTTGAACCTAGAAAATGCTTTATACTTCAAACAACTATGTATGACAGCTAAATCAAACAGAAATTTGCAAATTCGTTGAGAATTTATCAACTGCTTCTCGGAGCTACACCATCTAGTAGCAGCTAAACGAACTAATGAAATGAGATTTTTCTTTTCGCCGAAAGCAAACTGTTTCAATAAGTAGAAATCATGATGCGTTATATTCAGTGATGGGCATAGATGCACAGAACTGTCTAGGGCGATACCAATGCATCGATACGAGAAATTTGACTAAAACGATTCTGATACATCGATTCTTCGAAGACAGTTAAAGCGATACCAATACATTTATCGCCGATACAGCATCGCCGATTCGTTATTGTAAGAAAATAATGAACCTGATATATTAATATTTCATTTGGATGACTGATGCACTGTAAAAAGTGTTTTTCAAAATCATGCGTGTATATTTTGATGAGTTTTGCACCACAGTAACAACTGCATTATTACTACCGACAGGTTCATAGCACTAAATGCGTTCTGTAAGAAAATAAAAAAGCCATTCCTTTATGGCCAAAGAATGGAGGAGAGGGCCCCCTGCCTCTTTCACACTTCTTGAGCGTCACTGTCAACACCGCAAGCGAACGAGAAAGAAAAAACCAATCAAAACACATTTAAAAACAGATAGATAGACATAGAGGGTAAGGAGAATCAGAGAGAGTAAGAGAATGAGAGGAGAGGGCTAGTCAGAGAGCGAGAGAATGAGAGTAGTGAATGAAGTTAGATAGCGAATAAGAGAGTGGAGGAGAATGGGAGTAAGGGGAGGGAGTGATAGGCAGAGAGAGGGATGGAGGAAGGAAGGAAATGAAAGAAAGGGGGGAGAGATAGATAGAGAGAGAAAGGGAAGGTGGGGGCAGCGATGGAGAGAGGGAGCGAGAGGGAGAGGAGATGGAGGGATGAAGTGAGAGAAAGAGAGGAACAAGAGGTAGAGAGAGATAAGGAAAGAAAGGGGGGAGGCAGAGACAGAGAGAGGTTTTGAGAGAGAGGGGAAAGAGATAGAGAAAGAAAGAGAAGGGAGGGGGAGGCAGAGATAGATAGAGGTAGTGTGAGAGGGAGAGGGAGGAAGAAAGAGAAAGAGAGAGAGGGGGGAGGCACAGACAGAGAGAGGTAGGGAGAGAGAGAGAGGGCGGGGGGGGGGGAGGGAGTAGAGAAATAGAGAGAGGGAAAGAGAAAGATAGAATGAGTGAGGGGGTAGGTATCACAAAAAGGAGAAAGAGAGAGAGAAAGTGAAAGAAAGAAAAAAAAGAGGGGGAAGAGATAGAGAAAGAAAGAAGGGGGCGACAGAGACAGAGAGAGGTAGTGAGAAAGGGAGGGAAGGAGAGAGAGAAAGAGCGAGAGAGAGAGAGGGGGGGGTGGAGTGATTGAGAGAGTGAGTGAAAGAAAGACGGACAAAAAGAAAAAGAAAGAGAGGGGTGGGATAGATAGCGAGTAAAGAAAAAGGGGGAAAAGGAGAGATAGTGACAGGAAGTGAGTGAAAGAATATGTCTGGGCAAATATTGTTAACGTCTGGGAAACGGCCAATGAAAGACTCTCAACAGTTAATACAGCATGCAAAGAGGGAATGGGAGGTAATGCGGAGGAAACCGGAACTAATCTATAAGCATGTCGCTTCTGTCCCGGAAAGACTACGATTAGTAATAGAAAATAATGGAGGTTGGACAAGATTTTAATAAAAACGAATTGTTCTAGTTGGTATGATTTTTCCTAATATTTGCTCTTTTCTACATAATGCTGATTTTCTTTAATAGTGAAAATGCAACTAATTATATTCAAAACTTTCTACCATTTGGTCAGTTCATACAAGGAAAAAGTATTTCGGTTATCAAATACATTTTGTATAATTTAGCGCTGAACGTGGTTCCTAATGTTCCAAATGTAACACCAATAATCCCAAACTTGCAGTACGCAAACTAGTAGTCAAATAACGGTAATGACAAACAGCTGCATTGAAAATGGCCATCTTTACTTCCTTGACTCGCACACACACTCACAATGATGAAGCACATATATATTCACTATATCCCTACTGTGATTTTGCATTAAGTGAATGTTCTGTGATAAAGAAAATTCAAGTTTTTACAGTCTTCTGAATCGGTGTCTGAGGAAACAAAATTAAGTCACTTCATTTGTTCTATTAGCTCCTTCTAGATAGTTAAGGTAGGATAACGAAAAAGTTGCAAATCAGTGAATTTGCAAAATTTCAATTTCGTTCAGCTGTCATACGTAGATGTTTATAGAAAGAAACGTTTATATTTGTAAAGAAATGTGCAGTTATAATGCCATTTAAGCTATCAAATAATTCCAGGAATTCGTGTATGAAAAATACTCATCAAAGTCAACGGCATCTTATATATTTCATATAACGAGAAATTATTTCATAAACTCATCAAGATAATATATAAACACATACGCGCACACAGTGATTAGACATGAATTGGCAAACGAGAGAACAGAAATTATATATATGCCAAAGAAAAGTAGAGCGCAACATAGTATACCCACTCCCTCAGAATCAGAATCAGAATGGAAACATTTAAGATACCAAACATTATACAACAGCCTTATAGGAAGTAAATTTTATTTCCCTCCTTCAACCACTTAACTTGTAGTTGCTTGAGTTGAAACAAGCAAACGCGTGTTTACTTGCTCTGCTGTTCGAGTGTGGATGCGTCTCCGCATAGAAGTGTCATGGCTTGTAGGATCTTGATAGCGCAAACCATTATCAGGATTTAGCACAAGATAAAGTGCTTTCCAGATGAACAAAACAAATCATACATACGTGTTTATATCCCATCGCCTAATATATACTTGTGCACCCCCCCCCCCACACACACACAGGCTCACACACCCTCTCTCTCTCTGTCTCCCTCTGTTACTAATTTTGTCTGTTTATCTCTCGATCTCGTTCGCTTTATCTCCCCCCTCCCTTTCTCTCTCTTTATCAATCTCTCTCTCCCTCTTTCTCTTTATTATTATTTTCTCTCTTTATCTCTCTTTCTCTTTATCATATTGTCTCTTTATTTCTCTTTCATTTCGTCATTCTCTTTTTTTCTTTCTTTCACTCACTATCTCACTCACTCCCTTTCTGATACACTCTCTCACTCCATATCTCTATCTATTTCTCCCCCCCCCCCCCAACCTCTCTCTCGCTTTCTCACTATCTATTTCTTCCCTCTCTCCTTTTTTTACACACTCTCCCTCTTGCCTTCCCTTCCTCCCTCCTCCCAACCTCCTCTCCCTCGCCCTCCCCCTCCCCCTGTCTCTTTTTATTTCTGTCTTTCTTTCTTTTCTCTCTCTCTCTCTCACTTTCTCTGTGACTCTCTCTCTTCCTCTCCTACCCTCCCTCCCCCGCTCTACGCCTCCCTCTCTCTCTCTCTCACACTTCTCTATCTCTATTTGTGACTCTCTTTCTCCTACCCTCCCTCCCCCGCTCTACCCCCTCCCTCTTCTCTCTATTTTCTCTCTCCCTGCTTGTGTGTGTGGGTGTATGTGTGTGACTCTCTCTCTTTATTTCTATCTCTTTCTTTCTTTCTTTCACTCTCTTTGTTGTTCTCTTTCTCTCCCCAACACACACTCTCTCTCTTTCTCTGTCTCTCTCTTTCCTCGCTCTTTCTCTCTCTCTGTCTCTCTCTTTGTGACTCGCTCTCTCTGGGTCCTTCCCTCCCTCCCTCACTCTGTCTTTCTCTCTACCTCTCTCCCTCACTCTCTCACTACCTCTCTCTGTCTATGCCACCCCCTTCTTTCTTTCTCTTTCTATCTCTTCCCCCTCTTTTTCTCTCCATCTACCTACTCTCTCCCTTCCTTCCTCCCCTCTCTGTCTCTTTCTTTCAATCTCTCACTCATCTTTTCATCTATCTCTCTATCTATTTTTATTTCTTGCACTCACTCTCACTCTCTCTTTCTCTTTCTCTCTTTATTTCTATCTCTGTCTTTTTTTTTCTCCCTTTCACTCTCTCTCTCCCACTCATCATTTCACTCACTTCCTGTCACTATCTCTCCTTTTCCCCCTTTTTCTTTACTCGCTATCTATCCCACCCCTCTCTTTCTTTTTCTCTCTGTCCGTCTTTCTTTCACTCACTCTCTCAATCACTCCACCCCCCCCTCTCTCTCTCTCGCTCTTTCTCTCTCTCCTTCCCTCCCTTTCTCACTACCTCTCTCTGTCTCTGTCGCCCCTTCTTTCTTCTCTATCTCTTCCCCCTCTTTTCTTTCTTTCACTTTCTCTCTCTTTTTCTCCTTTTTGTGATACCTACCCCCTCACTCATTCTATCTTTCTCTTTCCCCTCTCTATTTCTCTACTCCCTCCCCCCCCCCCCCCGCCCTCTCTCTCTCCCTACCTCTCTCTGTCTGTGCCTCCCCCTTCTCTTTCTTTCTCCCCCTCCCCCTCTCTCTCTTTCTCTTTCTTCCTCCCTCTCCCTCTCACACTACCTCTATCTATCTCTGCCTCCCCCTCCCTTCTCTTTCTTTCTCTATCTCTTTCCCTCTCTCTCACAACCTCTCTCTGTCTCTGCCTCCCCCTTTCTTTCCTTATCTCTCTCTACCTCTTGCTCCTCTCTTTCTCTCACTTCATCCCTCCATCTCCTCTCCCTCTCGCTCCCTCTCTCCATCGCTGCCCCCCCACCTTCCTTTCCTCTCTCTATCTCGCTGCCCTTCCTCATTTCTTCTTGCCTATATCTCTCTTCCCCCCACTCCCTTTCCACTATCTCTTCACTTCCACTCGTTAACTCTCTTAACTCCCTCTCTCATTCTCTTCGCTCTCTGACTAGCCCTCTCCTCTCATTCTCTCTCCTCCTTCTCTAGCACCTCTGCCTCTCTATTCTCTCGCTCTCTGACTAGCCCTCTCCTCTCATTCTCTTACTCTCTCTGATTCTCCTTACCCTCTATGTTCTAGTCTATTCTGTTAGTCTCCTGATTCTAAATTGTGTTTTGATTGCGATTTGTTTTTCTTCTTTCGTTCGCTTGCGGTAGTTGACATCCGCTCAAGAAGTGTGAAAGAGGCCTAGGGGGGCCCTCTCCTCCATTCTTCTGCCATAAAGGGAATTTGGCTTTTTTATTTTCTTACAGAACGCAGTTTAGTGCTATGAACCTGTGGTAGTAATAATGTCATGTGTGCATTGTTACTTTGGTGCACAAACTTCATCAAAATATACACGCATGATTTTGAAAAAACACCTTTTTTACAGTGTCTGCATCAGTCATCCAAATGAAACTAGGTATATCAGGTTTCATTATTTTCTACAATAACGAATCGGCGATGCTGTATCGGCGATAAATGTATTGGTATCGCTTTAACTGTCTTCGAAGAATCGATGTATC